ACAGCATTTGGAATATGCAATTTTATTTTATCTACTAAACTGTAGGGTAATGCACTACCACCACATAAATAGGTCTCCAAACTGGATAGATCGTAGTTTTTAATATTTTCAGAAGCTACAGCCATAGCTAGTTGCGATGGTGGTGTAAATAGAAAATTAATTTTATATTTTTGTACAATGTCGAAGAAATGTTCAACATTAAAGGGTTTGTTGGAAATTACACGAGTTGCGTTTCGTAAAGTGCCAACGATAAGAAACAGCAATCCAGAGACCCAGTAAAGTGTGCTGAAGGATAAAATTCGATCATTTTGATCTAATTTACTGTAAGTGCAAAAAATAATTATATTCATTAAAATACGTAATAGTGGAAGTAAAAGATATTAGAACACTTACATAAATAACCCATTCAAAATGCTCTCGTGTGACATGCAAACACCTTTCGGTAGACCGGTAGTTCCAGATGAACATAAGATCGCTGCTGTCTGCGTTAGGCCATATAAGAGAGGTTCAGGTCTAAAAAAATAAAATAATAAAAATTCTAATGGTGACCCAAAATCTTTTTTTATATTAATATTATATATATGAATATTATATATTTTTATATGTATATATAAATTAATATATTAATTTATATTATATTATTTATTACTTGTAAGTGTGTTCAGTGCCTGTATTTTGCAAAAATTCAGTTATTTCTGATACTCCTTCAATGTGATCAGTTAACGTGTAAATAGTAGCCTTTAGTCCAGATTCATCGAAAGCTGCTTTTACTTTTTGAAATATTTCACCATCACAAAACATCATTTTCGGTTTAGTAATCGAAAATATATGTTTAATACCATCTGTAAAGTAATTCAATAAAAAATAGTGAGTATGATTATAACATATAGCATGAAATAATTCTTCTTACCCTTATCAAAACTGGGATCCAATGTATTAACTGTTAGACCACATAGCATAGCACCAAAAAATAGAGGACCTACAAAATCACTATTGGATGCACAGATGCCAATCACATCACATTGCTGGACTTGTAATTTTTGAAAATGTTGAGCCACACGAATTGTTAAGAGTTCAAGTTCCTTGTTTGTATAAGATTTACCATTATGGTAAGAAATCTATGTAAATAAAATAAAAATAACAAAAATTTTTAAATATGTTAATATATAAAGCAAATGTGGTGAAAATAAACATACTTCCAATGATAATATGGAACGAGGAAACAATGTCAAGACATCAATATTTATATTTCATTTTTATATTTCTTTAATATATAAAAATGAATAAAAAATTCGAAATCGAAAACAATATATAATATGTAAATATTTAAAATTAAATTAATTCGAGTTAACATAATCACAAAGTTAATACGGAACTAGGAAACGATTTCAAGATATAAATATTTTTTTAATAAAATAAAATTTTAATTTTTAAAATAAATAAAAATTTCGAAACAGTCCGAATTCGGAGCCAATTAATTCGAATAATTAATTCCATAAGACTACATAAATTTTACGTAGCAATTAAAAAGAGGGCTTTATAAAGTGTATTATAAAATATATCTTAATAAAAATATATAATTTAGATATATGCAACAATTTTTGCCAAATACCCATCATCAGTGGTCATAGAGCCATTTATTATATTTAATTATTCGTAAATAGTTTTTTAAGGGTGGAAGTACCAAGGATTGAATTCGTGCTCTGCCAAATTTAAAGCTCAGAGTCAGCATTCATTAGTCAACTGATCCAAAGCCGTATTTGACAGTTGTCGCAATTAATTAGAAAATTCACTTGCTGTGTTATACTAGAATTAATCTTATTTTTTTTTTTTTTTAATTGTTAAATTTTAACTGCACTTCAAATTGTAATTTATTTGGACAGAATAAATTTTTTACTTATTTATTATTAACTTCATTGTACTTTAAAAAAAATTATAAAAATTTTTAATAAACACAAAATTCTTAATCCATGATTATCCTTCAAAATGCAGGTTTTTTTTATTAACTTGAATTATCTTTGATTTTCTTTTAAAATATAATTTATTAAACATTTTATAAAAAATCTTGATCAAATTTATCCTTCAAATGGAATTTTTTGAAATTATTTATATAGAAGCAAGATTCTTTATCCTTGATTATCGAACACTTGTGATGAACTTGTAATGAACGGACTTGTAAATGTCCGGCACTTTAAATAATTCTTTAAAATTCCTAGATAATCACAAAATTCTTTGAGTTATAAGGATATTAAAGGATATAATACACAAAATTAGAAAAAATTTTTAAAAATTTACAAAATAACACAGGATCAAAATAGGATGAAGAAGAAATTATTAATTTACATACCTGTCCAATTTGTTCTGGATATTTTTGTAATGCTTCAAGTGCTGCTAAACCAATCGAGTATTCTGGTCCGTAAGGCAACTGCATTGGTGGACCACTCCAAACTTTAGTTACATGGTCATAACTTGACTTGCAAGGATAAGTATGCATACTTGTTGATATTTCTTCTGATTTTTTCTAAGCAAATATGTTAATATGTAATATTCGGACACACAGTATTTGAACTGTTACAACCAAACTATTTTTTAAAACTAAAGTAGCTATTAAAGGTTGAAGCAATTTATAGAAATTTTCAACTGATAACAACCTAGGGAGAGATTTACGTATATATGTATATATATGTTATATTGAAATTGTTAAACATATACTTGCATCTCACGTTCCTAAGTGAAACTGAAAGTCATCATATAATCATTATATCTCGTATTACAATGCACTTTGAAATGTGTATTAAGCACATTTTAATAATAAAAATACTTACATATATTATTTACGTTTTCAATATATAAAAAATAATTTATTTTAATGTATATATAGGTAAAAATATTTTTTTAAGTCGCACAGGCACCTGCAGCAGTGATTTTTAGTTAGAGGTTAGAAGGTCATAACTTAAAACTAAATACTAAATGTGTAATTAGAGAATATTCTAAGAAGAGGACTAAGAGGATAAAAGAAGACTGATCTATTCCAAGAATATTTTTTATATACTTTGATTTTATTTTAATACCTACCAATTTGCAATATCGTATACCATATATTAAAAAAAGTTGTATTTTAGGTAAAACAGTTCCCTAAGAACTGTGTAGCAAACACAGTACCAGTGTCTTCATCTCACATATAGATTAGCACAAAAGATATGGTACGTCATAAGTGCGTCACAAGAATGTGATTTCAAAAAAGCTGTTTTTATTATAATAATATTCAATAAGATTACTTTCATTTTCTTCTTGTTAAGAAATCTGTTTTTGTGAAATGACTAGCGAAAATATTACTTTATTGAATATGTTTTAAATAAAATTATTTATAATTGTATGTATTGGGTGTATTGAATTATATATGTATGGGTTTAAAATTTTCTATTAGTTCTTACTTTGTACATATTAATAAGTTGTTCTTAGTCCAATGTCGCAATTTTCAATCTTCTTAATAAAAATAAATAAAAAAAGAATTAATTTCAGATCATAATGCAGAGCTCTTCAAAGCACGGCCAACGGGCCAGATGCGGCCCGCTACATGTTTCTGATCTACCACAGTTACGCAAATTTTCCTTTGATATATTTTGGTAAAAGTAGTTTATTTTATTTTTATGGTATCCCAAAAAAATGAATTCAAATGAATAAATTTAAATAAATAAAACTAAATTTAACATTTTCATCGTATTTTTATTGTTCCTCAAAAAAAACCATGGATGTAAGTACTAGTTTTTGCGACAATGACCCCCGATCGTATCTAGTCTGGAAAGCCCTGTTCTAATGTATGTAGTAATTTTCATAAGATATATCAAAATTTATATGTATTCCGACCATTAGTTTACAATTTACAGTTGTGTTTATCTAACACTTGTTATGTTTCAATAAGAGTAGATAGACAAAAAAAAATCTATTGACAAAAATAGATACTATAAATAGATACTAAGTCTATCGACTTATAAAAGTACCTGAATTGATGAACATATCAAGTAACTGTAGGACTGACATTCTTACCAAAACAAGTACGCTGCTCTCTGAAATGTATGCCCCGCACATATTTTCTTATATATATAAATATACATATTTGTATGCATATATATAGATAATTACTTAATTTAATTATAATAGTTAGTCAACGTTTAAGAAGCTATTAGAAAATAATTTGCAGTACTAATTAAGAATAATATACGACATAGAGTTATCTTAAGTTAAGAAAGAACGGGGTACTAGCTCCCACTTGAGCAGAGTACTGCGACCATGATTGATCTTTTGTGCTACAACAAACCTTAACTGAATCCTAACTGAAACAGAGGACATTCCGCCTTCCGGATGAAGGCTGAAATGTCGGCCGTTGAGGACATCCTAATGTCGGAAGGGAAGAACAAATTCCCGACCCAGTGACCTCCTCCTGGCCCAGATCAAGGCTGGGCAGTCACATAGAATGTGGCTGGTTAATAAATATTATTTGTGTTCGTAAATCACAAATATACTGAATTAAGTGCCAAATCAGAATAATTTTAATTGATATTTATTTAATTTATTCAAACATTTTTTAAATATATATTATACCATTTATTTAACATTACTAATTATCAAAATTTTTTAAAAGAGTATACAATTAAAAGTTTTAATTTTAAATACAATTTCTAAATATAAATTTGTGCAATCGAATATTAAAAACTCAATAGAACGAAAATAAATTTGCACACAGTAATTAATTCTTCAATCTTAAAAAAAAATTTTTCTTAATAAATACGAAGTAAATATAATAGAATATCTTTTTAATAGACGCTTTACTAAGTAAACAATATTTTGACTACAACTTATTCAAATTAATTTTTAAACTTATTTTATTAATTTGAAATGAATTTTTAATAACTGTAACCTCTTCATGTCAATCTATCGATAATTCCGTATAATGTTATCAATTGTTCGATGAAAAATAGTATGATTTTTATAAAAAAAAGTATTCAAATTCTTGACGTTGCAGTACTATAAACATGAGGGGAATTTGATTGTATATATTTTAAATGTTTGCGTGCCTTTTGTTTGTTTTATTTTTTCTATATTTTGTTATTAATTATTAATTAACTGTGATTCATTTTTATAGTACATATAAAATGTTCCTGAAAACTGGCAATGCATTTTTAAATATTATGCGGAAACGCTCAACGACAGTTAATGCATTTAAAAAGCTGATCGACATTCATCCGCAAGTACAATATTCGCTAGATAAATGTAAGCCAATTGTAGCATTAGAATCTACAATCATCACACATGGCATGCCATTTCCACAAAATTTCGATACAGCACTTGAAGTAGAAGAGTTAGTACGAGCTAATGGTGCAGTACCGGCAACGATTGCCATTATTGACGGACGTATAAAAGTCGGTTTAAATAATACCGATTTAGCAAAGTTAGCTGCAAAAAAACAAAATGAAGTTATTAAATGCTCCAGACGTGATTTGCCGTTTGTAATATCTCAACAGAAATGCGGTGGTACGACAGTTGCTGCAACTATGATTATCGCACACATGACAGGCATCAAAGTTTTTGCTACAGGAGGCGTTGGTGGTGTACACCGTGATGGGCATATATCAATGGATATTTCAGCTGATTTAATTGAACTCGGTCGTACGCCTGTGGCAGTCATTTGCAGTGGTGTAAAGTCAATTTTAGATATACCACGAACATTAGAGTATCTTGAAACACAAGGCGTGTGTGTGGCAGCATATCAAAATTATGGCATTTTTCCAGATTTCTATACACGTGATAGTGGTTGTAAAGCGCCATATAATTTAGAAAACCCGGCTGAAGCTGCTTATCTAATAAAATGTCTATATGATTTGGATTTAAATAGCGGAATCTTAATTGGTGTACCAATCCCAGAAAAATATTCAGCAAATAAAGGTCAAATTACCTTAGCAATAGAAGAGGCTTATAAGAAAGCTGAACAGCAAGATGTAAATGGTAAACAAGTAACGCCATTTTTATTGGAAGCTATAAGTAAAATCACCGAAGGAAAAAGTTTAAATGCTAACATGGCTCTTATTAAAAACAATGCCACTGTTGGCGCTCAAATTGCAGTTGAATTATGTAAAGATAATATATATAAAGATATATATCTCCAAACAGAAAAAATGCATAAAGCTCCTTTGATAATTGGCGCTTCCATTTTGGATCTCTCATTAACTATGAACGATGAGATCCCAACTGTATTGAATGGTGCTACATATCAAATACAAACTAAGCAATCTGCCGGCGGTGTCGGACGTAATCTTGCTGAGGGTATATTTAAGTTACATGGCGAGGCTAATTTTATATCTGTTGTTGGCAATGATGAACTGGGTAAAAGTCTCTATAAACTAATACCTAAACCATTGCAACAAAGTGTTGAAATTGATAATACAAACAACACTTCTCTATGCTCTGTGATCTTTGATAAAAGCGGAGACTGTAAGCTTATTTTGGGTAACATGGATATACATAAGAGCATCACACCAGAACTAGTTATGCAACAAGAGCAAGTATTTCAAAAAGCGCCCCTTATTATAATGGATGGGAATCTGTCAGTGCAGACAATGGAATGTGTTTTGGAGCTGGCTTCCAAACACCAACGTCCAGTTTTTTTTGAACCTACAGATATGCGTATCGCTGCTAAACCATTTACGTTGCCAAATGATTTAACGAAACAAATTAAAATAATTTCACCAAATATATTCGAGCTAAAGGCAATATTTGAAACTATTACAAATACAGATTTAGTGCTAGAGAAAGATATATTGCAAAATAAAAATTTATTATTAAATATAACCAAAGACATGTTGTTAAAAATACAAGATAACTTTGACTGTGTCATCGTTACATTAAGTGAACATGGCATACTATTAAGCTTACGTGGTGGACATGAAAAGCAATTATTTGACACAAATAATTTCAAATATATTTCGAATTCTGACGATAAGCATTCAGTGTGTTATTATCCTGCTCCCGTTGTTCAAAGTGTGAAGAATGTTTCTGGTGCTGGCGATAGTTTCTCTAGCGGTTTTATTACTGGACTCTTAAGAGGTTATAAAGTTGAACAATGTGTAATATTGGGCTTCATGGCTGCCGAAAGAGCATTACAGTCATACTCAGCAGTACCTGAAAACTACTTTGCCAATAAGAATGAAGAATCTAAAATTTTTCTGCAGACAGTTAAGGAAATTCAAAAGGAAAATATATAGGTTTTATTATAACATGACAAAATAAAACTTGTTTTTATTTATTTGTTATTTTTTTTTAATTAAAAATTACGTAGTGATAGTTTATTATTTACAAAACAATTGTATATATTATATATCAGCAATATAAAATTTAATTGCATTTTAAACAATGTTGTAAACGGGCTCTTATCACATTTTTTTGTCAACATCATCACAAAACTAATACGCCCAACTAAAAATAAAAAATATCATTTATTACTTTATATAAAAACATTTTTATATTTTTATTAACAATAAATAAATGTGTATTTATGCATTAAACTTGTAAATGTTTGTTGTTTGTAATTAAATGCAAATTGTATAATAAGTATTTTTTTTTATTATTTATACTAATCTGCTTCACACTAATAGGATTTATACTAAATGAAAAGTATGCAAATTGATGTCTTATATACTCACAGTTTAACAACTTTATCTTTGCCTCCTGATGCTACACGTGACCCATCTGCTGCCCAATCCACTCCAAATACTTCATCTGCATGTCCTGGTAGTTCCTGAGCCAATTTTTTTGTTTGAACACTCCACACTAATATAAAGCAAATGTTAAGCCTTTATTTAAATTGTATTTAAAAATTTAAAAACCTTTTAATGTTGAATCTTTGCTACCGCTTACTAAGAGACGTGAATCTGCTGACCAAGCTAGTGTATAAACAGCTTGCACATGACCTCTAAATGTCGCTATAAATTTTCCATCTTGTGCTCGCCACAAGCGCACCGATTTATCAAAAGATGCTGAAGCAATATATTTTACGTCTGGTGAATATTTCACATCGTTTACAACGTTCTGATGTCCAGTCATACGTTCTATGCACTTGTTTTGATTTGATAACCAAAGATAAAGTGTATAATCATCAGAGCATGAAACTAATGACTCAACCCCTTCGGGACAAACTGTCTTATATCTTTCTAATGCCATATTTTTGAGTTCTTCCTCTAAAATTTTAAATAAATTAGCAATTTTTTAATTAACATCATTTAATGTAATATATTAACTGCTCATATCTGCATATTTCTTCTTTCGATCAGTTACAGGATGAAATGGACCCGTACGTAACACATAATCGGTATTTAGTGTTATGCTATTTACCCAGTGTGCATGACCAGAAAACGTACGACATAGCACACCGTCTGCAGCACGCCATACTTTAACAGTACGATCTTTTGAAGATGTATAAATTAAACCAGAACCACCCCAGCGTACTGCTGTTACTGCTGCTGTATGTCCTAAAAAATATAAAACATTTGTAAATTATTTTTATAATATCATTGTAAATATCACTACCTGCTATCGTCATTATACACTGACATAGCACAGTATCCCAAATACGGCAATCACCATCACTACTCGCACTAGCTAACTTGCGGCAATCTGGATTTTGATGATATGGCTCCCAGCTCAAACAGTTAACCCATTTTTTATGTCCATTCAGTATACGACCTACTTGTTTACCAGTCTCTGGATTCCATATAATAATATTACCCATTTTACAAGCACTAGCTATTCTTTTGCCGCCTGGTGACCACGAAACACACATAACCCATTGCTTATGACCACTACAAGTAAATTGTGGTGTTTCGGTGTTTAAATCCCATAAACGTACTGTTGTATCACCGGAACCACTAGCTAAATGTTCACCATCAGGACTAAAACTTAACGAAATAACTGCTTCAGCATGGCCTGGCATAGAACTTGTACAACGAGTAACTGGACGAACTTTAAAGACAGCCTGTGGTTGATATACTATATCAATTACATTTTCTGTATCTGTCGTGCTAAGATCTAATGCGGCATCCAAAGTTTTCTTAATTTCCTCTTCACCAACAAAGAATAAATAAGGTGTAAGCTCTTCATTTTTTAGTAAAGCATTACATATTAACCCTAGTTGCTCTGCTGTTACTTCTGATGGCAAATCTATAGGTGGACCCGCTTCTTCACCAGTATCTGATATCAGTCGAGCGCGTAACGTATGAGGCAAACTTTCTTTAGTCTCCTCGTTCATTTTTTGTTTTTTAAACATAATGCTGTTTTAAATTAAGATTATATTTATTAATTAAATATGTATTAATTCAGCAACAATTTTTATAAACACACAAGTGTAATAGCACGTGCAAATCAAAATAAAACAATGTTTGCAAAGTGCTGCCAGGTTCTATTTTCCAGTGGTGTACACATACAATAACAAAAAACCCTACAATGCGCTGTCAAATTTTTAACAGCTGTTTTCAATTCCACTTTCTTCAACACAATTTTCGTGAATGTAAATAAACATGTTTCTGTAAAATATATTTGGAAATTATTGAATAGTTTGTAAAAAAGAATAATTTATTTATTTATTAAATTTTCAACAAAATATGGCATTCGAGTTATCCACTTCAGTTGTGCAAGGACTTCAAAGTTTAGGCACAATTATTCCAATAGATCTAACTAAAAAATTAATATCTAATTCCATAAAATTAACGTTACATTCAGATGAGAGTAAGTATTTATTTAAATTATTGTAGGTGTGGTAATATATATATTTAACTTTTGAAGCTATTCCTCCCGTTCCGGAGATGTATGCTTTGAACGGTGACAAGACAAAACAAAGTGAGTATGCAATTGTTGCATTATTTGCACTAGCAACAAAGCATTGTATAGACAGCATTGCATTACGACACTTGCTTACAAAACATTTAATTGATACCACCGTATTGGATGAACTCACACGTGCTTACGAGGAAAATCGAAAAGACTTAATTTTACGTCAACTCCAACTTGGATTTAATTTTCCTCATATAACTGATGTTGAATGGCGCATAATATGTGACGTTAAATCTTCCACAACAAATAATAGCACTGGTGAATTGGGATTTCTAATAAACCTTGGTAGATACCATTTAATAAGCGGAGAAAGAGAACACATCGTTGAATTATTTTGCAATACTGAAGAATTACAGTCATTAATAAATAAACTAAAAGAAATTGAAAGGCATTGTGAAAAAGTAGCTTCACAATAAAATCCAACATTGAAACAGTAATTTTAAAATTTATTTAACACAACATAGTTTATAATTAACAAGGACGACATTGCAAACATTTTGTAAAATCCGGTTGCCAATAATTCACTAAATTTCCGAAAATCTTCACTGATCATTTTTACTTGCGAAACTCTTCACTGATCATTCGTGCAACAGATTTCATGTGAATATTCTCTTCGGAAAAAATTTAAAGCACCAGATAACTTATATTTTTGATATTTTTACCACCAATCAAGCAGCGAAATGGGATTCATACTGTGTTCGCTCTGCAATATAAAAAATTTTGCAACATTTAATAAAAAACGCTACACCATAGCTACACAATAAATACAAATGGCCAAACGCTTTTTAAAAAAAGAGAAACTTGTCTATTTATTTAATAACAACTTTTTACAATAACAAAGGCAGTGTAAGAATTCTACTGAACCTGATCGTCAAGAATTGATTTGATTTCCGAAAAACTGCATGGCGCATTCGTATATATAGATCCTGAAAAGTGTTTATCGCTATCTACAGTTGAAATAACAGTGCAACTATTCTCAGTAGTTAACTTCATATTCAGCCCACGGCAACGTTCATCAACTTTATATAAATTTTTGCCATGCGCCCAAGAATAGAACGGTTTGCCGCTAAATGGATTCATAAAATCAGCCCAATAGCCACGTACACGTAAACGAGCTGAAATTTCCTTAGCAGCTAGAACGAACTAAAACAAAATTAAGTACTTCTTATAATTATAAAGATTTAATACATCTTACTTTTCGTGCCCCTTTTTCGTTATCGCCTATAAACAGTAAAGTTACTAACGCTAACTTTTCACTTGAAATAACTTCAGGTGAAGGAAAAAGTTCATGCAGAGATTTCCTTATTAAGGACGGACATTCTCCCACTGACAGCTGTAGTAGCTCATTTTTAGTTTCCTTCTAAAAATTCTGCATTAAAATAGTTACAAATACAAAAACATATACTCACTTTTCCATCAAAATCAACTATTGATTCCAAAGGACCGTCTAAACTGATTGTGGTGTTAATCCCTTGCCAAGCAGGTCCTACTGCATTTGGTAAATAGAAACGATTTCCACGCGGTGACAAGAGCTCCCAATTTGGTCCGCATTCAACTCCAAGGCCATCTGAGTCTTCTACTTCACAATAATTATATTAATATACATGCTTTGTATAATTTATGCAAACAAAATATAAGTTACCTTCCAAACCTTTCTTTGATTTGACTACCTTAAAAGTGCTATTGACATTTTTAGAATTACTTCTCCGTGAATAGTGTTGCGTGATGAGCAGATTTAAATAGGTTTTTAACAAGGGCTTGCTGTTGGAAACAGCACGTTGTACTAATGCACCATTACGCAAAGTCCTTAAAAACATCATGTTTTATAAGAGATTCACGTTTCTAATTTCTTACACTGCTTTCGTTATTTTTGTTGTGTCATTTAATTGCGTCTAAATATTTTTGGGCAAATTTTTTTATTTCGATCCTTTTTTGTTTATACATTCATTTTCTTTACAAACAAAAACCAAAATATATAGTAGATTGTAAAATAAGAAACTTTTAGAATTTTAAAAAATTTTGTAGTAAAATTATTTTGTAACGAAATATACAAACTCTATTTTTTTTCCTTTATGAAGCTTTAACAGCTGTGTCAATGATAACTTAATTGCAAAAAAATCGTTTAAAAATATGGTTGCCGTTTAATAAAATTTGTGTCGTGAAATTTGCTAAACAAACCGCTGCCAAACGCTTTGTGTGCTAAATTCTGTAAAACTTAAACGTGGGCACACTTATTTTTTTCGTTGGTCGCGTTTTAAATATTTGTTTACTATTGCAAACAAATTTCAATGTCGAAAAATTTTTTTGAAATTAAAAATTTTATATACAATAAATTTATGAAGTAGTTTAAAAATTTAACACCTTTGACATCAATAAAAATGCATATTACCTTAATTTAAATTAGTTTTTTTTCGAGTTAAAATTGATTTTAACGTTTATAACGTCTACTCACTGGGTAGACTCAGCTATAAAAAATAGATGATAACTGATAGAGAAATAGAATAAAGAGAATGTATACTATATTTGGAATAATAATGCGTTCACAATATCATAATTAGTTCGACAAATATGCAGCAATAAATGCCATGTATAATGTAATATAAAATCATAACAAATTGCGATGTGTAAACGTTAATTAAGAATTTATAAATATGTACTTGAGTATCTGAAAAAAGAAGTGTGTGTACAAAGAACATCAGAATCACTACAGTAAAAATTTAAATTTAAAATTTTTAAAACTCTAATATAACTACAATAACTACAAACTACAAATAGTTTAAAACGACGTATATATATTATTATATCATTATGTGGTTTCGGCAGTAAGTTGTTTGCTTAAAGTTACTAAAATGTAACCAAAACAACAACGCTACTTTCTCTATTCAAATACCAAGTTGTGAAGTGGCCAAACATTTTAGCAACTACAAAAATGGTGCAAACGCAATAAGCGTATTACGCACTTGAACTTTGATATTGATCAAGATTTGCACAAAATACCAAAATGCTTTTTGATAAATATCTTGATTAATTGTTAATACTTAATAAATTTGTCAAGTCCACAGAAAAGGAGTGCTAATTTACATTTATTTTGAATAAACTTTGAAGAATTTATATATATTAATATGTGTATATATTATTTTAAGTTATTACAGGTTATGACACAAATTTGCCTGTTTTTAATTAATATTATATATTTGAATATATATAAAATTATATATCCACTTACTTCGCTATTTTTCGCTCTTTAATAATTATATTTGAGCAGTTAACATTTCATTTTCAATTATTTTAATATTATAAAAAAAATTAAAATATTAAGAAATTTGTAGTATCACACAGAAGGATTTTTTATTAATCTTGACAGGAACAAGTTTTTTTTTTGTATGCTAAATCTATAAGCTTTAATCAGTGACGACGTGTGCTCTATCTGGAAGGGTGTGCGGCCCTTCTTTAATGCTGTTTTTACATGTACCACTTAAATTAAAATATATGAGATGTTTTATTAATAATAACTATATTATATTAGGCAACAATATATTCGCAATATTATATTAACAATTCATTAACAAAATAACATATTAAACAAATTAAATTAATAATTTATATATAAATTTAATATTATATCAATATGGAAGAAACAAAACTTTTCATATACTTGTAACATCAACTTTTTTCAAACAAAAGAGTTTCTACTCAGAACGATATATGTTTATGCAGTGATCAAACAAAATCGAACCCACTTGCAACGTCTAAATGTGCGGACAAGTACCCTGCACAGTAAGCGACAGAAATTTGTGGGTGCTACTGTTAAAAGGGGAGAGACGAAATATGATAGAAATGTATGGTGATATGAGCTGCAAACTTTAGCCGCTCATGCAACCACTTTGGCAAATCATCATGTTGGATTCGTATGCATGCAGTTGATATTCGAGTAGAACAGAAAATTACTCTCATACAATTCCCACTATATAAATCTCTATCTCTGATATTACGAACGGGAGCACACGCACATTATTTTGTTTATATGCAACGTATGAATGTGCGGCCAACTTCTTTGCACACAAAAGGGAAAGACGAAATATAATAGAAATGTTCTGTGATTTGAGCTGTAAATATATGCGTACAACTAACAAATATAACAGCTAACAGAAGCAAATTGATCGACTTTTCAGAGACAATTATATTTAATTGTTTTTGCTAAAACTTTAAAAATATATATATGGAAATGTAATGAATAATAATAATTGTTGATGTGAAGATACTTAATAAATTTATATACCCATGTTATTTGACATTTTGCAAATTACGTTAGAGTGTTCACCGCACACCTCCGCACCTTAGAGCAATCGTCACTGGCTTTAATGTACTATTGTTGATAAATATCAACAATTTAATTTAAGTAAATCACCATAAAACAAAATTTAAATAAAAACAATTAAATGATCTTAAAATTTCCTAAAATTTAAATATGAAATTTCCAACGTAGCAGAATTGCTTAAATATTTGCTGCTTGTATTTTTTATTTATTTATTCTGTCACTGAGCATAGTTTGAAATAAAAAAAAAAATAATGTGGTAAAAATAATAAACTGATTAGGTGGCATCCCTTCCACAATTTCACGTGTGTAGCAAGACATAAACAATGCAATTTTATATGAAAATTTAAATGTGCAAGATAAAATTATAATAAAAAACTATAAAAATGTCGCGAATTATAGTAAAACAATTGCCAAAAAACGTAAGTAATACAAATAAGAAACAATATAACAATAAAAATATTGATTGCTTTAGATAAATGAAGAGAAATTGCGAAATATGTTTGGCAGCAAAGGCACAATTACAGATATGCAACTTAAATATACACCAGATGGAAAATTTAGACAGTTTTGTTTTATTGGATACCGGACCGAAGAGGAAGCACAACAAGCTGTAAAGTTTTTTAATAACACATGCATACAAACAAATCGCATAAAAGTAGAAACATGTGCTGCGTTGGGTAAAGATGATAAAACTCAATTCCGAAGTAAGCACTCTAAGGACCAAAAAGAAACGACAGAGAATAATGTGGAAACAGAAACCAATGTAGATGAAAGCTCCAAGAAAAAAGGGAAAAAGAATTCTAAAATCGATGAGATTGTTGGCAAGCATAAAGATGATCCAGAATTTTTAGAATTTATGAAAGTTCATGATAAAACCAGAACTCTTTGGGCAAATGACGATCTTGCTCCTGCCGCCGAACCCACTGACTTGGAAGAGGAGTGTGAGGATGTAAATATAACGGAAAATAAAAAATCTCAAAAGTCTGATAAAGATATTGAAGACGACAGTGAAAAAGACGGAGATAATGATGATAATGATAATGAAGACAGTTCATCTGATGCTAAGTTAGCAGAAAAGCCTATCAGTGACTTAGAATATATGAAGTCCTTAATGACTAATAAAAATGAAAAGATAAAAAATAAAGAGAAAAATAAGAAAACTGAATCGAGTTTGGATTTGTTCACGATTAAAATACACAATGTGCCTTACAAAGTAAAGCGTCAAGAAATCCTAAAATTTTTTAAGCCAATTAAACCTTTTTCAGTGCGTCTTCCAACAAATGTGCATGGATTTTGTTATGTTGGCTTTAAGTCCGAAAAAGAAATGGTAAAGGCAATGTTGAAAAATAAAAGTTTTATTAAAGGTAAGCAAGTGTTTTTCACCGATTTTACAGAGAAGAACAAAATTACAAAATCAAAGTTAACAAATGAAAATAATAATAACAGTTCAAGTACTAATACGAATCCTAAATGGTTAAAACAACAGGAGAGCGTGCGCAAGGAGGAAAACATTTCAGAATCTGGAAAAATATTTTTTCGTAATTTGGCTTACACAGTCACCGAAGATGATTTGCAACAGGTTTTTCAAAAATTTGGTCCAGTCGCAGAAATTCATTTACCCATTGATAATTTAACACGCCAAATTAAAGGTTTCGGCACTGTTACATTTGTCATGCCTGAACATGCTGTCGTAGCTTTCAATGAACTTGATGGTAGTGACTTCCATGGTCGGCTACTACATCTTATACCGGGAAAAACTAAAGAAGAGGAAGAGGAATTAAACGAAAATGATGCTGCGTTATCTTTTAAACAGAAAAAAATGCTTAAACTTAAAAAAATGGCGCAGCAATCAGTCAGTTGGAATACATTATTTCTTGGCTCAAATGCTGTTGCAAACATATTGGCAAAACAATTTGGTACTTCAAAAGAAACTGTAAGTATCTTAAATTTCCCTTACAACATAATTATTAAGTTAACATTATTATATAGATACTTGATACAAGTGCTGGAGGTTCAAGTGCCGCTTTGCGCATTGCCTTGGGTGAGACTCAAATTGTTTTGGAAATGAAAAAGTTTTTAGAAGAAAATGGCGTTTGCCTAAGTGCTTTTGATGAGCGCACAACTAAACGTTCTAAGACTGTGATATTGGCGAAAAATTTGCCTGCAGAAACTACAGTTGCAGAACTAAAACCTTTATTTATAAAATTCGGACCAATTGCACGTTTAGTACTGCCTCCAAGCGGTGTAACTGCTCTTATAGAATTCGCTGATCCGTCAGAAGCTAGACAAGCATTTAAAAAATTAGCTTATAGTAAATTTAAATCTGTTCCATTATTTTTGGAATGGGCTCCGGAAAAGAGTTTCAAAACAACAATTACAGGAGAAGCATATAAAATCGAAACTGATGATAAATCTGCGGAAATTAAAACAGATAAAAATGAGTTAGAACAAAAAGTGGAAACTCCAGCAGAAGTAAAAGACAAAACTGAGGATGAAGACATAGACAATGAAATTCCTGAACCAAATACTACACTGTATCTTAATAATTTAAATTTCAAAACTGTACTAGAGACAGTACATAAACATTTTAAAAATTTAGGGCCAATACATACTGTAGAAATAGCAAAACGTAAAGATCCAGAAAACCCACGTAATGTTGTATCAATGGGTTATGGTTTTATACAGTTTAAAAAGTCAGCAACTGCGGAGAAAGCTTTAAAACAAATGCAATTTACAACTATTGATGATAATCAAGTAGAGCTTAAACGTAGCGATCGAACATTGAAGTAAGATTTTGTATTCTCATATGTAACATATATGTAAAGTACATATAAAATACTTTTTGTTTATAGAGCTTCAAATACAACAGCACGTAAAAAAGTAAATTTAACTAAACAAACTGGAACTAAAATACTGGTACGGAATATACCATTTCAGGCCACAGTCAAGGAAGTGCGTGATGTGTTTAAGTAAGTTATTCAAATATTAGTATTATATATAAAAAATTGCAATAACTGATAACACCAAACTACCTTAACATATACCTAGCCCATCCACCTTATATCCTCCTTTATTCCCCCCTCCCCCAACCACCACTCACCCGTATTCCAATACCTGTATCCTGTATTCGTCTTGTAAACCCTACATGTTATCTACTTTTCAGCTCCCAGGTGGTTACTACACAACCAAACTACCTTAACATATACCTAGCCCATCCACCTTATATCCTCCTTTATTCCCCCAACCACCACTCACCCATATTCCAATACCTGTATTCGTCTTTTAAACCCTACATGATATTAACTTTTCAGCTTCCAGGTGATTACTACACAACCACATATACCGAAGTAAAAATAATTTTAATTGTATCTTAAGTGATGGTATCATGTACTTCTGTTGTTGTAACCCGTTTGGATCTACTTATAAACTCCCTTTGGGTAGTGGGTGGTGAACGGTATTTGTTCGTCTTGAAAGGAAATTTAAGAAACTTAACAACACAAATTTCTTTTGAAATTATTCTCTTATTTTATTTCTGTACTTACAACTAACTACGTCACATCAATTTTATTTCATAGCTAGAGCAATATTGTTCTTCTTGATTACATTTTCCATTGCAGCATGAATAAAAATTTTTTTATCATGATAAGTTCAACATAAATTAGGATCACTCACAGCTGCTTAAAATGTATAATTTTGTTTTTTTAATATTGAGTAAATGGTTATCACAACTTTCAACCCGCGTGAAGTTTTTAAATCAATTGTAAAATTTGGTTTATCCAAATAGTCAACCAGTATTGGCGTAATGTCCAATATAATCTAAAGCGTAAGCGTAATTCTATTGGAGTGTTGTATATAAGTATATAATTTTGTCGTTCTATTTTTAAATGTCCAATACCTTTTCTTCTATATTTTTTAAATTGAGATTTTCTCGCTCATCTTTGCTAATAGATATAGATTATAAATGTATCTGAATCCTGTTTAAATCTCATATGTATTTTATTGTTTATATAAAAAGAGTGATATTGTTTGAATATCACAATTATTCTCAATTTGGATATCTCTACATATTAATAAAATTTCCTTACTATTTCAGAACTTTCGGTGAATTGCGTACAGTGCGTTTGCCAATGAAAATGACTCCTGGTGAAAACCAACATCGTGGTTTTGGTTTTGTTGATTTTATAACAAAAACTGATGCTAAGAAAGCATTTGATGCACTTAGTCGGAGTGTTCATTTGTATGGAAGACGTCTTGTACTAGAATGGGCATCAACAGCCGATGATGATGTCAATGAACTTCGCAAGCGCACAGCAACGCAATACAATGCTGGCAGTACAGCTATCAAACGCAGTAAAAAAGCTGTATTCGATACAGAAGGTAATATACAAACAACGCCAGGGGATGAAGAAGACATTTAAATTTATATTTAACATTTAACATGTAAATATATATAATTAAAACATTTTTGTATATAATATAATATATAATCGTATATATTTGTATAATATACTGCGCTACAAAATATTTTTGTAAACAAACAAAAAAATTATTACTTATAATAAAAATTAAAACACATTATACAATTAAAAAGTATAAAATACAATAAATTAATTTTAAACCTACATAAAAATTGTATTTTTTTTGTAGAAATTTATATAGTTTATATATAAGTAACCATTAAATAATCTAGTCGACAAGAAACATCTAAGCTATGCTGCTTCATACATACATTTAAAAAAGTTTAAAACACACTAAATCTAAAATTTTAAGACCAAATAAAAAAAAATGAAGTTTTTACTTAATTGGAAGTTTATACTCAATTTTTTTGTTTATATGAACTTCGATAAATATAATGCAAATGCTAAGATGTGTTGTCAATTAAGCAGCAAAATTCTAGTTTAAGATAAAGCAAGAGGAATATAACATTATCAATAGTTTTTGTTTATTTATATGTGCCATTTGGATATATGTGCACTTTTTTTTTTATAATAATTCTTTATTCTTTATGATATAATGAAAAATGGAGAGTGCAATTTTAAGTATTTCAAAAATAGTTGCTTCTTTTTTTTAACATTTTTAAAAAATATTTGCGCAAATCTCCCCAATCCTTGAGCAAATGCTAAAGCTTTAAATTTTAAGCTTATAAAACGTTTACATTTTTTTATTTGCTTACAGTCAAGATATAGTTTTTTATTATTCTTATTCAGCCGACAATGTCATACACAGCAGCAGAATTCATAAGGACCAATAATATCCAATCCATATTCCAGTTCTGTCTTTATTTTATATACAATATCATGCAAAAAGCAACTAATTTACGATGTCATTTCACATATTGCTTAACCATAGACATACATGATGTACATAGACATCATATATATATATTTAGTAAATAACACGCAAAAAAAAAATTAATTGTTTATGTTAAATATGCTAATTATTCTTTTTTGATACGAGCTTGCAAAAAGCTATAGAGTATACCGGCTTGTGCCATCACATCAACTGTACTAGATGCTAGAAGATCCTTTTGCTTGGTTTGAGTTTGCCCAGGCCGTAGCAATGTCGGACCAAATACCATTGCTAGATTATGTAGCGACATCTTGTTGTCAGCTTCCTGGTGATGTACCCTGAAATAAGTAAATAATAAAGTAATTAAATGCTTCTAGTATTTCAATATAAAATTAATATATTTACTATCACTAGTTTTTAATAAATTGACTAAGCTTTCATTTTGCTAGAAACTATTGACGTAAGTTTCTCTTGTAGACTAACCTTATTTTATAATCTAATAAACAACACTGATTTTATTCAGAAATCTACTATCAATAAAATGCCGATTTTGTCACAAATATATATCCTGACCTTAATCGAGCTTGTACAATTGTTGTTACACGAGGGAAACGTCTTCTATTTTCGAAGATTTAAGTCTGTTAATAATATTATAGTGACAGAACTTGGTCTGAAAGACGATATTGTCTCAGTATAGATGACTAAAAAGCATTGTCTATATTTTATCTCACTGATATTATCTCCGTTGTAATAAAGAACGATATTGTGTCGGTATATATGACTGAAAAGCATTATCTATATTCTATCTTACTGATGTTGTCTCCGTTGTAATAAAATACGTTGTATTCCTATTAAAAGAAAACGGATCAGCAAAAGTCACGTGGAGGAAGAAGGGCTCTAAACATTATGGCTCCATTCTATTCTATACCAGCCGAAGAACACGATCACAAAGAACTTAATTTGTTTGAACTATCGATATTGTAACCTTATATCTAACGTTATTATGACATTATTAAGCAATTCATACAGCGATGACTACGTGATACTGTTTTTGTTGAAAATCATTTTAATCCCAATTCTTATCTAATTTATTAATTGCATTGTATTACAATATTTCAATATGACAAATAGATTTTTAGATAGATCTAAATTTAATATTATATATAGATATTATGCATATTAATATATGATATGACTTTAGTCATCAACATTAAACATAACTGAATACATAATTTCTGTTATAATTTATACATCATTTAGTATAAACTGAATTCAGTATAAGACTCTTTTAATCCCCATTCTTCGTAGATTATTAAATAAAGAGGAAATAAAATATCTACACTATGTTTAAGCTATATAAAAGCTCTTCATATAATTAATTTGGTTATAAATTATTTCTGTAGTTGTTATCAAACATATTTAAAAGAAGGTATATTTACCGAATTAAATGATCAAGTATATAATTAATTGAAGCTTTGTTCGCTGGCGGCAACTCCTCAAATACTTTAAGTAATTCAGTTATTCGTGCAGTTTCATTATGGTTACTAAATGCATTAAAAGTTTCGAAAAATTTCGGATATAACAAATCCGAGAACAGTGCTTCTGGCAGCTCACGTAAATAAGATTTTAAAATTCCAGTAACAGAGTGTATATCAACATCTTTAAGCAATTGTTCAGCTTCATAAGCGTCTATAACATTATAATATATATAACTTTTAAATATTTTTTTTTGTAGAAAGTAAATTAATACATACTTGTTTCAAACGATTTTTTTAATTTCGCTAAATCTGATGCTGAACCGCTCACACGGTATATACCCACTTCTGACATGCCACGACGCTCTACTTCACGTATGCAGGCACTAATTATAAATGGAATGTCTCGTTTTTCGCGCCTACATTTGAAATCATAACAAATTAATTATATAATAAAAAAAATATATACAATTTTATCTTACTTCAGTACTATGCCCATTTTGGCACCAAACAGTGCGCCTGGTTTTGATGTTGGCACGCGACGTAGTGTGACTTCTCCAGGCACAAATCTCAAGGTAGTATTTAAGGTAATTGATTCCGTCATTTTAATAACTTTTGGAGCAGGTGTTTCTTGCAGCCAACTACGGCTAAGCTATAAGTGCAAAGTAATTATTTTTAATTGTAAACATTGATTTAAAAAAAAATTTTTGTTTTATTACTTTTAACACATGTTTGGCCCTCAGTTTTGGTCGTTCTTGTGCCTCATACAGTAGTATGCGCACATTTTGGCTTCCTTCAAGTTCTAACACAAAGCTCTCATTCCACATGGGACTTAAGCTGCGGCATACCATTTTTGTTGTTGCTTTGCGGAAATAATGTCCATAAGAATCAACTTCAATACAAATGTACATATCTGCGGGTTGTTCTAAGCCTGTTAAACCTTGTACTGTCATATGTAAATCACCCACAAGCAGACTTTCGTCGTTTGTGTTACGCATTAAATATGAACCCATTTCAGTTTTCATCCCCTTTTGCATGGCTACAATAAAAGCGTGTACCTCCAAAGCATTTATAGTATTGGCACCAGGTATATTACATGTTTGCTTTAAACAAATATTCATTAGTTATTAAAAACTTTAGTAATGTTTATGTAATGTTTATTTACCTTCAAAGTTAATATTGAATCAATCCATTGCGTACGCTCGAAGTCTGAACTTAAGAAAAATGTAATAGTCTTATTTGTTGCTTTATTACCGATACGGAAGACAAGATTTGGTGATGCTAAGACCAATTGCGATTCCAAATCGGCTAGTTTCCTGCGATATTTATCGCCTGAACGTAGCCCATTTGTTTTGCGTGCATCTTTCTCTTCTTGCAGCAATTGATCACGCACTGTGCATGCTTGTGTTTTTAATTGCAATATATTTGCAGGACTAGATTCTTTCAAATCACCACTGGCGTCTGAATCTTCAAACACGAATACATCTTTAAGTGGTATAAACCATTTCAATTCATAATCAATACGATCGCGACCGGAAGCTTTGTATTTTGCACAAGCAATGACATCATTAAAAAGAAATAAATGCCTCAGCTTACGATGACCATCAACAAGTTCAACAATAAATGAATTCTTAACCATGCGTCTTAAATTTTTGTTCGATTCTGTTGGCAAACGTTGGTTGACTACATTAAATTGATTGAGGAACATGCGTATTGTTTTATGTGCTTGACGCAACGGTTGATGATCTGGATGATTGGATGGTGTTTCATTCAATAAATCATTGAAAACCAAGGCATTTATCTGCACCCGTGCAACAGGTTTATGCAGTAAATCCTCTAATGTAAGCGACTGTTCAGTCTGCAGATTCAAAACGATCGTTGAAACGATCTTTTTGAACTGCGGATTGTTAGCGCTGCATTTTTTAACTGTTTCTATAGCTTGTCCGTAATTATGCAAAAACGCACTATACAAATTAAACATATCTGCCAAACGTCCAAATGTACCACCAATTAGTACATCACCGCCTTCATGTGAAACTATAGTTTTTAAATCATTTAAAAATGCTGTATGTACTTCATAAAGCTCATCGATTTTAAAAAATATTGTATTCTCCTCTTCCTCCTTAATCACAGGTTGGGATGTACCAAGTGTGGCGTGTATAGCCTTTTTATACTAAAAGGGATATTTAAAGCTATTAATTATTTATTTATTGCTAAATAAAAAAATATTAAACCTACCTGTATCATTTTGTTCAAGCATTCTACATAGATTTTTTCACTTTGTATGATGCTACTTAAAATTGATCGTATTTTTACACCTCGTGCATTACCAGACTCCTAAAAATACACAAATCTTATTAATGAAAGTAAATATTTTAAACAATAAATAATATATTATTACTTTCTATTACATTTACAGAATAAATATTTATAGTAAATCAATATATATGTTATTAATTGATTAGTACTTAAGTCTCGTAACTAATATATGTATGAATATAATAATTAAGATATTATTTACAATAGTGGCATTCACGAACTCGAGTAACAAGCTTGACAAGTTAATTTTGTTGTTGCTAATTTAGACTTTTATTATAGCGTAATTCATTATGGCGAGTAACGACCTAATCTTTAATATTTACGCCCATGTTACACAGAGAATCGATCAAAGGATCGTCGATTACCACATTTGTTACTGCTTATAATGATTTTCATTTTTTAACTTATATAGTGGTTATACTGGTTATCATCTCCGTAACATGACCCTCGTGACAAGTTATATTCCTGTCACCTTTCCTATGCAAGAAGAGAATAGATTACTCCGAAAATGTGTTCGTAGAGCTGAATGCATTAGTTTGAATATAATATAATAAAAATTATTTGAATTTAAGTTTACCGCTTTGCATTAAAAAAAAATCTAGCAATCTTATTGAGGTGCTTCGTTAAAACTCAATTTTGTGGTAGTTTATTGAAGGGCCAAAAACGTTTAGGGAACTATACTAGAAGATTTGATTTGTCGTTTCTTCATTCATAATGTACTTGTTCCACACTATATTAGGGGCCTTACTTTTTGAGGATCTTGGACAGCTGCAGGACCTTCCTTTTAAAATTATCTTAGATTTTGCCAAAAATGGATTTTAAATCTTTTAAGTTCTTTAACGTTAACATAATAGGCCAATAGGCCTAAGTGGATTCTTATGTTCACTGGTATAACCTAACCCAAGTTTGATTAATAATAGGATAATAATAGTTAATAACATATAAAGTTTAAATTACTTTAATTTAGAAATTAAATCAAAATAATTTAGTGTTGCATAAACGAATAAAAGTTGAAAATATAGACAAAGTATAGGTAATTTCATTTTACAGATCGATACAATCAGGTGCGCTTACTGGTTAGAGTAACGGATTGCACTTTTACAAGTTACCCCTCTCGTTGATCCTAAAAGTTATAATCCTTATATGACCCTTACGTGATCTAGCCTATTAATCGCGATCATGAATATTACTAATAAAATTTAATTATTTAAGTATTGCATCAACAATCTCGTTGATCCTGAAAGTTACTATCTCTTACATGATCCTTACTTGATCTAGCCTATTACTCGCGAACATGAATATCACTAATAAAATTTAATTATTTAAGTATTGTGTTTATTTAATACCATTGAAATATAAAAGATATCATGAAACACCATATTAAAACCAAATTTAACTAATTTCAAAAACTAATTTTAATATAATGTTTTGGACAAAAACAATGCAACGCTATAAGTAAATTGTACTTACAAGTATCGCTGAAACTAAGTTCTGTTGGAAAAATATTAATAAAAGGAAAAATTTAGTAAAATGTTTAATTTTGAGTAGTGTATGTTAAAAAAAAGTTAATTGTATTTAATTATTTGTTCCAAAAATAATTAATATGTTAATGAAATAAATCTTTACTAAGTTTTTTGTTAAAAGTGTATTATTGTTATACTAGGTAACCCGTTAGACTAGCAACCAAATGTTCGTATTTTTGGAACAACGTTGTTAAAACAATTACTTATTAAAAATTTATTAAAATAATTTAAATAAAAATGTAAATCATTTTAGTAATTACCTTTCTTAAAACGCTTGGAGTTTGTGATGTTTGCTCATCGTGTGAAATGGCGCGTATAATTGGCGGACCTTCATACTCTCCATCACTATCTAATGAACTAGATCGAGTTTCGTTGTTTTGACTAATATAAATAAATGAAATATGTATATGTTTTAAATATAAATGTTTTTTAAGTATACAGTAAATACGCTTACTTTAGGAAGTAATCAATATTAACATAATTTGATTGACGACCAGGTGATTCTGGATCTGTAACGCTTGTTTGACTGCTAAGATGAGCTACTGAACCAATAGGCAATGTACTGCCAGGAGTTGATAGATCATCACGACTAGAAGAGGAGCCATTGCCACCTGGTTTAATATATACATATTCACCATCTCCATTATCTAAAGGAACCGTATCATAATAGGGCTCATTATCAACATTTTGTGCTGCTTTGGCACTATCTGAACTTAATGATGAAACAGACTCGTAGCTTTTAATCTAAAATTAGAATTAGTATATTTGTTTTGTTTGATAATTACTCTAAGTTAAAGTTAATGTTATAAAATTTTTCTGCTTATTTATCATTTCTTTCGCGTTTATTAAAAATAGAATTATAAACATTTTTTAAATTATGCAGAGTCAGAGTATAGAAAGAACTATCACAATACTAATTAAGTGGGAAAAAGCTTAAATGCATATATATATTAT